TCCAAATTCTCTTTTTAAGTATAATTTTACTGCTAGATTAAACTCCTTAAAAGAGAATATAGAAAAATGGAGAATACTGCCTCTGTCACTTATTGGTCGGATTAATACAATTAAAATGGTTTCCCTCCCGAGATTTACTTATTTATTTCAGAACATTCCAATATATCTCCCAAAAAAATTCTTCAAGCTGATTGATTCGGTTATCCTGCCATTTATCTGGGGCTACAAATCACATAGAATATCAAAAACACATCTTCAACAGCCAAAGAAGTGTGGTGGTTTGGGCCTACCATGTTTCCTACATTATTACTGGGCTGCCAATGCCAGAGTGTTGATATACTGGCAGATGACTCCAGATTTAGCTACTTCAGAAAATGTCCCATCTTGGCTAACAATAGAACATAGCTCAGTTTCAAAATCATCTCTTCAGGCACTTCTTTTTGCATCACCAAGACCCCGGACCTCTACACGAGGAGAACATTTTATCATACAGCAATGTGAGAAAATTTGGTTACAGATTCGAAAATATTGCCAACTTCCTAATCTGTCCATTCATGCTCCAATATGGCATAATCATGCATTTCCTCCGTCGTTTACAGATGCTGTTTTTAGAGAATGGTCCAGTAAAGGTATAGTGTCAATCAAAGACGTATTTATAAATAAAAAATTCTGTTCTTTTGAACAATTAGAAGCAAAATACAGTCTACTTAAGAGTCATTTTTTTAGATTTTTACAATTAAGAAATTATGTTAGGGATAATTTGCCAAATTTTGACTCTCTCCCTTTGGATAATGATTTGTTCAAAATCATGCTCGGCCCACCAGAGTCCCAGGGTTTAATTTCCTCATTGGTCCGCTATTTTTTAAGTAAGTCTGAATGTTCAACGTTAAATATAAAGCAAAAGTGGGAGGAGGATCTCAATATTACAATCAAAGACGATGTATGGAGCAGAGCACTGGGTGACATACACTATTGCTCAGTGAACTCAAGATTGCAAGTAATACAATATAAAGTAGTTAATAGGTTACATTACTCAAAAACAAGGTTAAACAAAATTTTCCCACAAACATCACCTCTCTGTGACAGATGTAAAATATGGGACAGCACATTAGCACATCAATTTTGGCTTTGTCCAAATATTCAAGGTTTCTGGACCTCAATATTTGAATGGTACTCTCGCGCCCTTAAAGTTAACATAAAACCCGATCCAGAAACAGCCCTCTTTGGTGTCTCGGACACTCTTAACAAATTGGGTCGTGATGTAACAACAGTGGTCTCCTATGGCATGATGATAGCCAAAAGATGCATATTAAAGCAGTGGAAGGCTGACAGACCACCTAATTTTGAATCTTGGATCAAGGAATTTACAGGAATCTTGCACATAGAAAAAATTAGATTTGATTTAATAAACTGTCCTCAAAAATACTACAAAATTTGGAAACCCATTCTAGAACAATTGAAGCCATAAAGAACCCCTATCCTCCCCTCTTTTCTTTGTTCTACTTTATCTCATTTGTTATGAATAAAGGTGTGGACACTCCTAATTGTTTGGTTGAAACTCCATAAAGTGTGTTTTTTACTTTCAGTATGTCCAAAGTGTAAATGAACAAATAATTTTTATATAATATTATTTATTGTGTGTCTAATGCTTTTTTTTGTTGTCGTTTTTTTTTTTTTTTTTTTTTTCTTTTTGTTTGTTTTTTTTTTGTGACAAATGCTAAAGGATTCACTAAAGGACATTAATCATTGTCATGTTTTCGTTATATACCTGTAGAAAATTCTATAAAAATAAATAATAAAAAAAAAAAAAAAAAACTGTAAGAGCCCCACTGCAACCATGATGGATGAAGACAGTGGCAGTGGATGTAGTAGTTTGCCCTGAAATCGAAGGATTGACGGTTTAAGCCCAGACTCTGATTTTCATTGTCGTTGTGTCCTTGGGCAAGACACTTCACCTGCATTGTCTACTGATGGTGGTCAGAGGGCCCGGTGGCGCCAGTGTATGGCAGCCCTGCTTCTGTCAGTGAGCCCCAGGGCAGCTGTGGCTACAATATAGTTTGCCACCATCAGTGAGTGTGTGCGTGAATGGGTGAATTAATGTAGTGTAAAGAGCTTTGGTCAAGTCTCCTGACTTGAATAAAGGCGCTATATAAGTACATGCCATTTACATCACTCATTGTAAGGGCATATTTGGGAAAAAAACTAAAAAATTAATTCTGTTGCATAGTAACAAAATGTTAAAAATTAAGGGAGAGCACTATTTTTAAAGCACAATAGGACACTTCTGAGCATATATTGATATTATGGTCTTAGTTTGTAGATAAGTAGCATGACGTGCTTCACGCCTGCTGATCCCTGCATGTTGCACAGAGTCATGCCTTGACAGAGTGGAAATGTTGCAGTATGAACCTTCTAGTTTGGCTAAACAATAAGAAGAAGCTGTGTTTGGAATTAATGAAAAAATCTCCTGCTGCCATATTCTGACCTTAGATAAACATCTACAAGATTTCATAATAAAGGCCAAAAAGGCCAAAGCAAGTTTAATGATTATTTATGGCTCACAGAGTCTTATGAGATGCTTTTATGTGAACTCTGTGCATCATTTTACCAAAGGAGATGATTTTTCAGCTGGCCCCCTTTGGCTAAATGACGGTTTAAGGCATTTTATTGTGTCTCAATGGCATTAGAAAAGTTTTCTTTTCCAGGACCAGCTCTTCATTGCAAAAGATTTTTAGTTTTTTGTTCTTTTATTTTTCCACTGCTTAACTGCAGTCCTTCTTTCATCTGCTGGGATGAGCTTTGAGCTCGGGTCGGAACATGTGATTAAACTGCCTCAGAAAGGAAGAAGCAGAAGTGGATAAGCTGGTCTCAGGTTGTAAGAAGACAGGGATATTATCATAAACCAACATCATGGACATAGTATGACCAGATGAACTCTCTCAGGGAAAGCATCAGCAGCATCTTAGAAAATATATTTTTTTTGTCTGTTGAAGTTGTATACAGGTTTCTTTAGCTTTAGCAACATAAAGACAGCAAAGAAACAAAACAGCATGATACAATACCTCCAAAATTTTACAGGTCATTATTAGTATATGTTGGATTTTCAGGTTCTACTTGGTGCTAGGTCTATTTTTTATCTGCTAGCAGGTACTCCCAATCAGTTAGATGTCAAGGCTCAGAACTGAGGACCCAGAATTCGAAGCAGACAGATAACGTACGTCGGATCTGCAACTCAGTAGCAAGGGCGTCAAAAGCCAGAATCTCTGTAGAGAGAAAACTCAGTTTAGTGACCACCTAAATCTGACGGAGGATGATTATGTCACTAACCTGGTTTTAGTGTTCAGTCTTGGCCCAGAAGAAGGCGTAGAATCCAGCCAGATGGCTAACAACAGCATTTTTTGTTTTTATTTATTTGTATTGAAAAAAAATTAACTAAAATTATTATGTTGATTTATTCCCATGCATCACAACTAAGTGCTTTTATACTTCAATATAATTGGCAACCCTAAAAGGGCTGGTCCTAAAATGTATTAAGTTGCCTGGTAAAGTCTTTGGATCAATGTAGGTCTGGATCTTCCATTACAACTGTACACTTGATCCAACATCTCTGCAAACCGTTGCCCCTGTTTTGGTTTTGCTTGCTTCACTGACAAGGAAGATGGTACATTTGTATTTGTTGATCTTACTTCACCTCTCACTTATTGTTAAGTAATTTAATGAGACCGAATCTTCTTTATTCGTCTGGTATGACTCTTAAATAGTGGCCAAACACTTTGTTGTCAGCTATTGTATCCACTGATTGAGTTTGTTGGTCTTTTTCACTCTCTGTTGACAGACCAGTTTCGAGTTCCTTCTCATGTTGAACCGATTCTGCAGAAAAGTCAATCAGAATGTTTCTTCTTCAGTTGCATCCTCTGATTCAGTTTCTTGGTGTGTTTTACTCACCATTGACACACGTGGTTCCCCACACTGTTTGTGACCCAACTTATTACCTGAATCTAAAGGTTCTTCTTGTCTCTTTTTTTTTTTTTTTTTGTCAGCTGGGATAGGTTCTGAAGAAAAGGCTATTTTCATGTAATTTTCAACCTTCTCTTCATCTGTCTTGTTCTGATTCATAATCTTTCTCTTCACCTGTTTCTTCCTCTGATTCAGAATCTGTTTCCTCCTCAGTTGTGACCTCCGACTGGGTTTCTTGGTGTATTTTACTCACCGTTGACACACCTGATTCCCTACACTGTTTGTGACCCATCTAATACCTGACTTCAGCATCTCTTCTTGTCTCTAGGTTTGTTGGTCCCCAGAGATGAGTTCCCCATAACCGGGGATGGGTTCTGAAGAAAGGACTATTTTCATGTCATCAGAATCTGTCTCTCCATCTTTCTTCCTCTGATTCATAAAAATGGAGGATTGAGAAGGAATGGATGATATCACCATTGATATCAGGTTGCCTAGAGAGGGCCAGTATTCTGCAGATTTTTTATCTCCTTGATCCAACACACCTGATTGAAATGGCTTTATTCCTTAGAGGAAGTTAAGTTAGTTCTGCAGAGGATGTGATTATTAGATTCAAGTGTCTTGAAGCAGAGAAACTTCTAAAAGGCGCAGGACATCGACCCTCAAGTACTAGATTCGGAGATCCTTGGTTTAAATGGTTGCATTCACATGGATGGCATACTTTAAAAAAGATATTTTTTTTAGAGTAAGGGTAAACACTTTTTTTTTTATTTGTCAACATCAATTGGAAGATGAGAAGAACCAAGAAATTTGTTGAAAGGACATATTATGGTGCTTTGTTCGCTCATTGGAAACAGAAACACTGGACCATAAATTCAGGAAACTGAATGGATTTAAACGAATTAGTCTATATTGGACAGAATAATTTAATCTTTAGCTATTGAGTATTTTTAGAAAATCTACATGATATAGTTAAATGTCTTCCAAATCATCTGCATGTGATTTATTCTACATATTTTTAAACTCTCCATGTTGTCTTCCAACAGGAAAGCGGGGCTCATCCTCTCCCAGCTTGACGAGCTTTCTCTGTGGTGTAAAGGTCTCCTGCAGGAGCCCAAGATCGGCCTTCGCAGGATGTCTCTCAAGTTCCTGTCCTGCCGTTACACCGACACCAAAGCCTTTGGGCTCAACTGGTCAGAGATGGGCCAGGATGTGCACAAGGCCTGTGACGAACAGACGCTCACTGTCATGTATAACGACTATGGTGAGCCCAAGGAGCTCTAGGTCTGACTTTCAGTTTGGTTTAGCAGTTTCCTGACCTTTGGCTCCCTCCCCCCAAATTACAGGTTTCACATAACTGGTCATGTAGCTGTGTGTTGGTATTTATTTCTTTTTTCTACAGATAACAAAATGGCATCACACCAGTAAATAAAGTGTTTCAAAAAAATTATATAATCTGACTATGAAAGCATGGCCCGTACTTCTTAGGGAATTTAAGGCTGCCTCAGCTTGTCTGCATTGTTGGCTGTGGTCAGATGCTTCTGATGGACTTTTCTCCAAATTCTCCTTAAGCTGCCCGTGTCCCTGCTGTTCATTGTTGATCATCTTTCACTCAACATTCCCATATTGGATACAGCACTCTCTAAACAGCCAGCTTCCTACTGGGCAATCTTTAAGCTAGCAGTTTCGCTCATAATAATACCCATAAAAGAACACTTCTGTTTAAAGCATTTTTTTATAGTGTTACTAAAAAATTATGATGACATTTTCTTAGAAACTGCATCTTGGTATTTTATTATCCTTAAACCATAATAATCACAACAACCGAAAAATTCCTTTATATCAATATATAACTCACAAAAATATAATGTACAAGTTTACTTTTTACAAAAGAGTTATTAATATGGATAACCTTTTTGAGAATAGCTTAATTCATTGAAACTGACCTGAAGTCTCCCTCAAAATAACATTTTTGTTGTTTGTTGTGTGGAGTTTAGCAGTTAAAAAAAACGTTTACGCTGTAAATAACATTATCATGACGTTTTAGCTACAATATATAAACTGAATGTAGTGTTGATACTTTGCATTTAGAAACGTGATTGATATAAAACGATTTGTTTGAATTAAAATCATCCAAGACATACTGACTTACTTCTGTTATAGCTTTTAAATACTTTTAAACAGTACTTTCAGAATCATTTTAACATTTAAGTATATTTCAAACAGTTTAACCAGCAGTAATTCTGTTCCAAAGCTGCAAAACAAAAGTGTCTTAATATTTACAAAAAAATAGATTTGTTTGTAGTTTAAATGTAATAATTTGTGCTGGAAAAACATGTCATTTGTGTTTGAAACAGAATTATTTTGAACTTCTCAGACTTCATTTGCAATGTTGATCATTCTGAGGGATACATTGATGAATTATGTCATTTTTATTTTCCTTAACAGATCTAAAATGTGAATACTAAAAAAGTGTAGATTTTGTGTATAGACAGTATTACATATTGTCATCACATTCTAATCTTTTATTCTGTAAATACAATGTACTCCTGGTGATATTTTTCAGCCTTGACTAGTGCTTTGGTAAAGATGATCTTGTACCATCATATAAGCTGTGTATTGTAGCTTTAAGCACTGATTTTATTCTTCATGTGGGTGATCTGATTGTAACTTTATAACACTGACTTTTGGAGCAGTTTAGGTTGAAATAAAGGGTAACAAGTCTGAAATCAGTTTACATTTTTTTTCCATCTGCATGAAATGCTGTTTAGAATACTCTATTGTGTGGCTTCATAAACTCAGATTCTCACATTCATCCTTGCTTCTTTCAGAAGGATTTAAGAGGGTAGTTCACTAATGGCTTGTCTATTAAATGTTTTATTTGTGCTCTTGTTTTACTGTTGGTTTTTCATGGCAGTACTGAGACTGGCATTACTAATTGTTGTTGTAGTTCTGGTCTCGGTGCTCAGACTGCTGTCCAAACGTTTTACTGAAATAAAATAACCCTTTAAATGTTTTTTGTATGCATTATATTACTAAAGGTTCCCTGTTGCCTGGTGGTTGCACATTTGATGTGAAATCTTAGTAGGTATTTATCCCTCCAAAAACCTTACAAAAGATTTTACACTCTGAAAAATGTCCTATTTTTTAAAACTTCAATCACAAATATTAGCTTTTAATATGAATGTTGGATACCAGGGGGAAAGAAAAGGAAAGCATCCTGCAGAAGAGATGCATCCCCAGAGCATGTTGCTGCCTTCTTCTTGGCTCTCTGATGATGATATTTTCAGTGATATGAGTGCTGATTTTAAATCTACTTATCAGATCATCTTTTTCCACGTCTTTTCTAATCTCTTCATCACTTATATAATGGTGCATGCAGGAGAAACATGCATGTACTTCCTGCCACCATTTAGCAAACCCCTGATAGTTTTTTTTAATTACACATTCTACCATAAAGGCTTTTGACTGAAAACCTGAAGCTCCGGTCTGAAGTAGGCCTCTTGGCTGCTTCGCTGAATATTTTTTTCTGGGCTCTATCCATCAGTTTTAGCTTTGCAGTTATTACATTTCAAGATGCTTAATTAAAACAGTGCTTATTCAGATCTTCAAAGAATAAACTGGTTCAAAAGCAAATTTTGCTTTGAATATTTCTACAACTTCAACCATCACAAAGTCTGGGATGCAACTTTGTCTTCATGTTAATGTTTTTTTTTGTTTTTGTTTTTTTTTTTTATTAAAACTGTCAAACAAATCTTCCAATTATGGCAATTAGAGGACCTTCATTTTTGGTATTAGATTAATAGGGACTGAATGCTTATGGATTGGGTTTATGTTTGTATCAAAATGGTAAAAACTTTATTTCCCTCTCACTTTTTATTTCTGCACTTTTTTGTGTTTTTGTATTTGCCCAAACATTCAAGAAAACATGTTGGAGTTTAGGGTGTGCAATAGATACGAAAGAGTATGACAATTTTATGAAACAGGAGGCATTTGTTTAATGTTAATAGGGTAACATATTATTAAAACAAATAAAAAAAAAAGGAATAGATTGTAAAGGATGAGTGATAAAGTGTTAAAAAAAACTATAACCTGATAATAATATGAACCCCGTTGTATCATAAAAGTAAAAAAGGACATGATTCAGGTCTATACAAAGTTGTAATTTATTATATAGATTACAAATTACAGTAAAATATCACCATATACTTTGATTGATTCTGGTATGGTATTCCATCATATTGTTTCACTGACTCTCTATTACACTCATGAAGTCTGTGTTGAATGAATAAACTGTTTTTCCTACACTTCATCACAATTTTATCATATGTGCAGAATTGTTTTAGTGGTGCTGATATAGAGAGAATAATACTTGTATTTACAGTCAATATTTGAAATTGCACAATGATCATTTATATTTAAGCATAACTGTCACATTTGAGCAACTTAAAAAAAAACTTCCATGCACTGTTGCTCAGGGAAGCATTGCTGCATGTTACAGTAGCACAATAACACACTTGAGCTGTGATATAAATATAATAATGACACGTTTCGCTAAGAGGTGGCCTATGGATATACTGGATGATGCAGATACTTTATCTATACATGTTAGTCTATACACGTTTCTCTTCAGCAATAAGGACAGGAAGGTTCTATGACCCTTTTAATTAGATTAATTAGGTCTGGAAAACTACTTGAGCCCATTTGGAACAGAAATTTAATGAAATTATGATGATTTCTATTTCTGAAGAAGACTTGGTAGGGTCCAAACTCCAAAAAGCTTTCAAATTTTTCATTAAAGATGACCTTTTAGGTCTTAGCTAGGAACAAAAGAAGTTAGCTAGGAAGGAAATGAAGGACAAACTATGCGGGAATGAAAAACAACTGGCTTTTTATGGTATAAGTCTGTCGTTAGTCACAATATTGGTATTAAGAAATGTTACACATCTGATATTTACTAGTTGCTGTGGTGAACGGCATGTGATTCGAACTTTTGCTTAAGACAAGTTCAGATTCCCTTCCTGTCTTAATTTTTTGCATTCCTCTTCCTCCAGTTCCTCCTCTTCAGTCCAAGGGTTTCACTTTGCTTTTGTTCTCTTCCGCATCTGGATCACGGCAAGTGCACTCGTCCTCACTGCAGTCCGCTCCAAACTGGATGACCTGTCAGTAAACAAACAGCATGATCCGCTGATCGAATTACCAGACCAGCTGCAGAGATCTCGTCTGTATCTATGTTTTTCTAAAAATCTGTCCCCATAGAAATATCCTCTGGTTTAGCCTTTTGTAACACTTAAATGTTTGGTATAAACAAAAACATTTTATATCAGATGTGGATAACCTGAGTAAATCTGAAAAGAATGTTTTTGAATAATTATTCTATTTATTAAGGAAATAAATGATATCCATAAGCAACCTAGCCCTTAAGAAAATGTCATGAATTATCTCTGAATAAAAACATTTTCTAAAAGCTCATTTCTAATCTCTGCTAGACCTGCCAGACCTAAACAATTAAGAGGTCAACTAAAGACTGAAAAATCTCAAAAAGCACAGCATCATTACTTAGTCTATTGAAATACAAGAACAAAGTAGAAACAAAGTCTCTAATATTAATGTAAAGGATTACAGAATCCATCTAAAATGTTAATTATTGCCACATTTAAGGAGACATGGAAAAGTGTGGAATTTTCCAAGAATAAGCTGGTTGACCAAAAACTACTCTAAAAGCACATGAGCAACTAATCCAGGAGGTCACAAAAAACAAGAAAAAACAGCTAAAGCACAGCAGGCCCCACCAACCTTTAAGGGGTAATAAAATGCAAAACAGATAGTTCAGTGGGCTCAATGGACGTACAGAGAAGTTCAAACCCCATCAACACATCCTTTTTCTGTTAATCTCACAATTCTAAACTTCCACCATAAACTCGAGGATGTTGCCTTATTTGGTTCTGGCCTGTACTTTTGTCGTGCCCTAAAATTGACATACACACCATCCCACTGGTTCACTGGCCCAAGAACATCAATAGAGGTAGATGGAAGACACCAGTAGTTGTTTAGCCTACAGTTGGGTTTACTTCTACAAGAATTAGAAAGCAGGCAGTTTCTCTATTGAAAATTAGCCAGAACCAGGGGTGTAAATGTTCAAAGGGATACGAAGACTCAACTGGCATAGATTATTTTTGTCTATCAGAAGATTCCTGCAAAGTTTGATGGTCAAATGTTCATTTGCTCTAAGCATTTTACAGAGGACACATTTTTAAAATCTTAGACAGTTCAAAGCAGAATTTGCAAAAGTTCTTTTACTGAAACGAAGAGCTGTTCCGACCTAAAGGCCATCACAACTGCAAGCTGTAAGTATGATTCTGTCGCAAAGCTGTTGATATCAATGGTAGCATATCTATGGTGGCCAGATTTGGGTTTTTTGAAAAGGAGGACAGGGGGAAGGGCATTCGAACCGAGCGGTGAGCTCCGGGGCTGGTCCAGGAACCCCGGTGGCCGGGGACGGAGCAACCGAACCTGACCCGGTGACGGTATGGCTGCCTTGCCGGTAAGGCAGGCGGGAGGAAGCACGGGGCCGCAAGTGTCCAGGCTCCCGTCACCGGGTCGGGTTAGGTCGCTCTGTCCCCAGCCCCGGCCAGCCCCCCCAGACATTTTTGTAGGTATGAAAAGTAGGACATGTCCGGGAAAAAGAGGACGTCTGGTCACCCTACCATATCAACAATTTGGTGTTTCAGCAAGCGAGTGCTTGTTGTTATGATGCATCTTTACTCAGCAGCCTTGCTTGTTGTAAACCAACCAATCAGAGCACAGCTCATCTAAATATTCATGAGCCTACCATAAAAGGAAGACATTTTGTCCTTTCATTCTAGGGCTTTTAACCAGGCTTGCATTAGTGCAAACAAAACAGCAAATATGCCATTTTCAGCCAAACCAATGTTACACACCATATTGAGAGACTTTAAGAACCAGCACCTTAATAATAATATATAATCAATCTATGACGCCTTTAAGAGACTGAGAAAAAGGGGTATCCATGTGAGAGTTCTCGGGCAAAAAGAGCACAAAGGACCACCCTGCATTTGGTCCAAAATATCTTAATGTAGCCAGGACTAAGAAAATATGACATGAAATGATGAACCCTTTACTTTTTTGGCATAACTGACATAAAATTAATTCAGTATTTTAAAAAGTAGTGGTGGAAGTGTGATCGTCTGGTGTTGCTTTTGATGAAACTTTAATGAATTTTGCTTTTTAGCAAACAAAACAACCTGTAAGAGAATAACCAGGTATCAGTGTGATTATGTTAATCCAACCATAATTTTGTAATTCAACAAGAAAAAAAGAATCCAAAGCACACGAGCAGTCTAAATCTTAATACCTCCAAAGAAAATAAAAGGACTTAATTGGCCTAGTCAAAGTCTGGGTAGCTGAGATGGAGTGGCATCACATAAACTAGGGCCTTCATGTTCAAATCCAGTGCAATTTCCTCCTGCCACATGCCGAAGTGCTCCTGTGCAAGGCATTTAAGGTTCCCCTTCCCATCAGTGTACAGACATGTTTGTGATTGGGTGAATGCTGCTATGAGAAAAGCCACATGCATGAAAAAAAAACATGAAAAATGTTGTTGTACTTATTGAAATTTCTAGGAATGAAAGGAAATCAAGCCATGGTTAAAAAAAAAAAAAAAAAACGGGGAACAAGAACAGTCTTTAAGAAGGGCCTCCCAGTTGAGTTGTTACATTTCAACTGTTGCAAAGAGCACATCTCTGAATGACAAAACCAGAAAATAAAAAACACATTTGCCTGGACCAACCATGCAGCATTAGCCTGGGTGCCAGTCCGAACTTAGTCCCGCCCACAAGGTTTGAGTTCGGGGAAGTTCGGTCTGGCTCTGCTCCATAGTAGCGCGAGTATTAAAGCCCACTGTCAGGCGATCCAATCAAATTGTCAGGGCGGACTTTATACGATGATGGACAGATGATCAAGAGTAACGTAATCAACCACGTGACCAAAGCGCGCTAGGATGACAACAATAATGGCTGCCGCTGGAGAGTTTGGGTGAGTAGATTCTGCTATTAGGTCTGTTCTAGAAGATATCGACAGCAAATTAATTTTAAAAGAGGAACAGAGAAACGCGATCAAGTCTCATCTTCTTATTCTAGGCGTGAAACTGCACGCTTTGATTTTTGTGGACAACAACTATGCATCGCAAAACATACGTCACGCACTCCGTTGCTCTTATTGGTTGTAGATCTATCCAATTGAGTGCAGAGGCATTTTTTTCCTGGTTCGTTCGAAACACGCCCCATAATCACAGCTCTATGGAGAAGTATCAGACTCATATTCTGACTAGAATTGAGTCGGACTACGTCAGGCTAATGCAGCATTGTATTGGTGGTGAAAAATAAGCACCTTCAGTACTCGTCGCCTCTCCTCACAGTTTTAAAGAGAGCTCAAACGGCCCTCAGAAGGCCGATAAAGAGCACGTCAAATGATCCGATGTTGGCCTTTGAGCAGCAAGAAAGCCTTGTTGTCTTTCTGGGAGAAGAGTAGGGAGGGAGAGGAGCACCACCGTGGAGATGAACGGATGAACACATGTTAGGAATCAACAAGAACACGCTGCCAGCTCTCGTCTAGGAAGCAAGCCATCACCACAGGTTGCAAAATAAACTCTGGTGCCCCGTGAAGCAGTCTGTTGCAAGAAATATAAACATTTGCTCCCGGAGAGAAGGAGTGAAGGGAAGACTGGGAAAAAGAAAGAGGAGTGGGAGGCAGAAGAGGGGAAAAATGACGACTGCACGCAACACGAGTAGGAGGGTAGCAAACGTCAATGTTAATTGCCCCTGCTTTACTGAGTGCGAGAGGGTTGACGTTGGGTTAAGGGGGGGCTGTTTTACTGAGAGCTCTCAACAAGCTGCAGGAAGGCCTAGTTTCAGTTAAAACACCAGGAGTGCCATTTAAGATGGGTTTGCACTCCATATAAATGTTTCTCTAAATGCTCTATTCAGATTGAATGACTACTCTGTTGTCGAAGATCCCTAACAACCTTTGGAAGGGGTTCTGTTGCTTCGTGCATAGACACAAAAAGCGAGTCCTTTGGGTGTTTCTGAGTGTGTAAAAGTTGACTCCCATTGTTTACTGCAACACACTGAAAAACCGGACGCATATAATGACATTTCAAAAAGAAGCATCAAACACTGCATGTAATAAAAACCTAACAAGCCTTACTGCTTTTTTTTTCTCCAGTAGACTCACAAGTCAGAAAGCCTTGCAAAAGTAATTGGACTTTGTAAACTCTTACACATTATTTCACATTTCAAGTACAGACTTTAATGGGTCTTATGGGCAGTTTATGACAAACCAATGCATAGCAATGCATAGCTAGGAATTTTAAACCTCTGTCTCTGTTCTCTCTCTTTATTTTGTATGCTTAGACTTGCTTTCTGCCGCGCATCGAGCTCCATCTATCATCCCATCAACTGTACCTGCTAAAGAGAAACCTTCCAGCCACCATTTTTCACAGTGGGGATGATGTGCAGTGCTTTTTTCCACATGCAATGTTGCATGCAGGGCTGATTTGTGAGTGGACAACTAAGAGCTGTGCTGTCAACAGATTTATTATTATTTTTCAGTTGTGCATTTGATTTTTATTGTGTTGTTAAAATAATTCTAGCTCCCCCCTCATCTGTCACTAGAATAAAAAAAATATTAAACAGTTATATTACTGAGTAGCAGCAGAGAAATTGCTGTTAATTTTGTGAACCATAATGTCCTATGCTTGTATAAGTCACACCATGTACAAACATAGAAACCCGCTAATGCTAGATTTACGCTTCCTAGTTGCTTTGTGATTCTTTCTACTCGCAGCTAGGATGCTGATTATCATGCCGACTTAGTTCACTTCCTCAATATTCGACCCCCGCTTGCAGAGCTGCTGCTTTACAGTGGTAGAGTAAACCGCAGAGCGTCAGACACCTCTCTGCTCCTACATATGTATCCCCTACCTCCACCTTCTCCCCCTCTATTCCCCAGTAAAAGAAGTAGTTAGGAGCAGTCTGGCAGCTCATTTATTATGACGGCAGCTACAGACTCGCTGAACCCCTGCTCGGCTGCAGAAGGAGCTGAAAGTGAGTCATGGAGTGCTGCGGACATAAGGAGACAGTGGAGTCTCGGCCAACTGTAGGCCATAAGAATTAACGGCCAACGAGTGCCATGAAAATGTGGTCGTACAGTAGCCAAAGAGGGGTATATTGAAAAAATGGTTTGTGGGAGGGGTTGGGCTTTCTAAACGTCCACATGGGAGAGAAGTTGTCATGAAAGAGCGGAAAAATAGGAAGAAAAATTTATTTATCCAGGAGCAGTTGAGGGAACAAGTGGCTTGTGGTTTCCAGCTCTGCTTGACCTGGAATCTCTCATTATTATTCATAGCATTCCTCCGAGGCATCCAATAAATGCAGTAGCCATTCAGGATATTTACTGCAATGGGATACTTTTTATCTTGTATTGAGCAAAATCAGTCATCACGTCTGCATCCAGAGATATTATTCAGCGTATTGTCAATAGAGTTCATCTACAGCCTGTTTCATATCTGTTAGATCCCTCATCCCTTATGCAGTTTAATATATATAAAAACTTGTATATTTACAACCTGAGCAAAAGCCCCTCTGTTGTTTTTGTGCAAATTAAGAGGACCAAATAGCCACAGCTGCTAATAGGAGCAAGGGGAAACTAAAACGAATCTGTGTTTATTTACTTAACAGAGGTCTCCTGCACAGCAGCACGGTGCTCCTGCCAAAACAGACTCATTTCTACAACTGTAAACAGGAAGAATCTGAGTCTGAATCCAATAAAAAAGGTCTAAACTCCACGATGACTCCAAAATACTAAACTCAACCCGCAATCTGATGGAAAACACATCTGACGCCTTTAAAGGGAAGGAAATTAATACCTTTTTGGTGGAGAGAGTGGACGGGCAGCAGTCTCCTCCATCATACTGGCAGTAGGCCCTGTTGTTGATGGTGTCACACCAGCCGTCCCCTCCAAAAGGCTAAACACAGGGTAAAAACAAGAATTAGAGACAATCTTCCATTAAAATATAATTTTACCTCAAACAGCATGAAAAGCTGGGAGGGCCGAAGATGAAACAATGATTCAAGATGTTACCAGAAAGCAGATTTTCACTAAGTGGCTCACATCGTCATACAGTTAAGTTGTTTGGGACAAATGTCAGCAAGACAGATCAAAATAAACAGAGCATTTCAAGTCTTATCCAAACAGCATAATGAGAAATATTTCAAAATCTGCTGTGAGTTTAACAGTGGCTTAAACAGGGTGGTCCAAATAAAACAATGACATCTCTGCAGATCTGGATGTTTGTTCAGAATTATCTGTCTTTGGTCAAGCTAATCAAGTCACAACGATTGACGTAAATCCAATGAAGCAGCCTAAAATCTGGCAGAAGAAAAGCTATTCTTTGAATGCAAAACATGCATTTTGGCTTTTTAGATTTAGAGACAAATGATAAAGAATTGCAACATCCTAAGGAGGGATAACTTGACAAAAGGGTTTTTTTCTTAGGTAATATTTGATTTGTACATAAATGTGCTGAAGCATCTTGCTTTATGAGAATCTAATCAATTCAAAGAGTGATACTTGAATACAGGTAATGCAAAGAGTGATGATTTATATCTGTTAATTTAGGTCACTTTGCCATATGATTAAAGTAAAGTAAAGGTTCAGCTTCTAACAAACTATAACAGAAATTAAACAAAAGTAATTTTATCCTGTAATGTCAAGCTATATCAGTGGTCTACCAGGGAGTCACTGACATTCTCCACTAACAGGCAAAGCCACTGTGTAGACTGCTGTGTTTAAGAATATCAACAAAAAGCCAATTGGAGGGGAAAAAAAGTCTGCTAGATGCACAAGCAACAGGCATAAATATCAGATGATTGACCATTGAACCTTTAGGACTTTTAGACTTTAGGTGTCGGTGTTTTAACAGCTATTGCCATACACAGATATCCAGGACACAAACCTCAGCTGTCAACAATTCTTCTTTAACTCATTCCTGAACCAAAAACAGTATGAGAGCTAATGTTACCTGGGCTAAAATAAATATTGGACTAGACTATCTGTGGTTTTTAAATTATTATTATTATTAATAAGAATCTGGAAGAATGGAGAATCCCAAATTACAAATTGTTTGACCTTCTTTTGTTGAAAATAAAAGGATAAAATATGTCTGTGTTTCTATTAAAGCAGAAACACAGGACTACATACCATGGTTCATCGATTCTTTTTAAGCAAGACCAAATAAATTTAATGCAAAGAAATAAGCACACTTTTAGAATTTAGACATTTCAATTTAAAATAGGCTTTTTTTGTCTTGTGTAACATTCTAGCTTCTATCTATCTATCCATCTATCTATCTATCTATCTATCTATCTATCTATTTATCTTGCTTTTCACATCAAGTTACTTTTATACAAGTCAGTGAAATCTATGTCTGCCACCATAGTAAACCATTTTTATTTGCTCTCATAAAGTTAAGGGGATTCAGGCTCTCGATGTTTTATAGTTGCATGCTAAAAAACGATCACTCTAAAATCAAAATAGTAACAGTAACAGAGGTTAGCACATTTGGTTCTGACAAGTTCAATAACATTGCCAGTCCTGCATCAATTTTGCATCCTTTTTGTTGTTTGAGGTCTCGCCATGGCCATGCAGATCCAATTCACTTTTTCCTCCTTTTTTTGATTTGTTCTTAAACTTCAGAGAAGAATTTTTGCCTTTTTATGCTGGCTCCTTCTTCATAAACCTTCAAAATCTAAGTGTTCTATGACCTCCTGTGAGTATTGCAACCAAGGACCTGGCTATTGAGCCCACATGGCCTTACATTGTGCAGATGTAAGGCTGACCATCTTAAAGCAAGAATGAGACTGCCATGGGTGGCACAGAAAGTTGGAGGTGTATATTTCCAGTCAGAGACAGTAGGGGGAAACAACAGATACTTCAAATATCTCATAAACACTTAGATTACCATCACATCGGCTGAGAGGAGGACATATTAAGATAAAAATGATACTTGGAGCTGATTTAAGAATTAGTACACAAAAAAGCTATTAGAAGTTTTTTTTAAACAAAATTTAAGTTAATTTAGTTTAAAATAAATTTTGCTCTTTACCCCTTAAAGGAACTGGTATAACTATTTCAGAAATGTTTTAGCTCTTACCACAAATTTACAGGGGATTGAAGGTGATGATTGCTAAACACACCAAGCACTAACAGTTTTTTTTTTCTTTAAACCTTTACTGTCTATATAAGAATGAGAGGATTCCCCCCCAAGGCTTGAAACTGGCGGATGAATGAAGATGGATGCCAGCTACAATAAGGCCCAGGTTCATATGAACCTCCATGATGAGGAAGTATAAAGCAACAATGAAGAGAAAATAATCTCCTTTTTGAAGAATTCTCTAGCAAAACCAAGCTAAACATGGCGGTCTTCTGCCGGACCACCTGGGTATTCCTCATGAATGCAGCAAAGGCCAGAGTGCTGATGACGATTCTCAGTCATCCAGGTCATAGTCATTCCGTAAAAGTTTAAAAACAATCCACCAAACTTGGTTTCCAAGGTTTGGTTGCTTTCTCAATTCAACTGTCTTGAAAATAAAAGGATCCACAGTGAGTTTGAAGCTTTATATAGACAAGGCCTTGTATTGCTTGGAAACAAGCAAATTGAAACCGATGAGCTGGTTGTTTGGTTCCAATTCCAATCGGTTTCAATTTGCTTGTCCAAGTAATACAAGGCCTTGTCAATATAGAGCCGCTGCGGATCCCAACAGTTGAATTGAGAAAGCTTCCTGGAGGGGAAGCGAAACGCGAAACCTCGGAAACCAAGTCCAGTGGATGGTTTTTCAACTTTTAAGCAAAGACGAGAGGTGAAGCAGCGGTGGTGTGAAGAAAGTGTCAGTTCGAGCTTGTGCTGGAAGTGGAGAGCAGATGCTTATTTGGGTAACAGCTGTGTTGTGATTTTGAATGTCTTTTAAACTGGACTCTAAATACTGACTGGACTTAGTGGAACTATGTTCCACTGATGGGGTTGCTTCAAACACGGATGCGCCTCTGATTAGATGAGTAAGTGACTCAGTTTATTCAGTTGAATTTTCACATTCACAGGCTTCATATTTCATATTCACCAATTTTTACCACATCTGCTTTACTCAGAAGCAATTATCTATTTTTAGGTTACATTATTATGTATTATCCAACTTCGCTATGATAAATTCAATTTTTATTCGCTGATGACAGAAGTGTTGGTCTCTACACTTACAGCTGGCATGTCGGTATTCAGAAAACACTGGTTTAATTTTTTTTGTAATTTTGCCACAAGGTAGCACACAGCGACCAAGCTACAATTGAAACATCTGGAATAGAAAATGGATGGAAAGTTCAGCAAAATGGTGAGACTTGCATTCGTTTCCCTCCATTGCACCTCCTTGGCTTTGTTATTACACTAAATGCGTAATATTTGAGTTTTGTTGTGTTGTCAACATTTTATGTATGTTTATGCATTGTGAGAGAGATGGAAAGTACAATGAAGGGATGGTAGATGTGGTCTGCAGATGTACAGTACATGTGTGCCTGTGTATTAAATGGTGACCTCCAACAGTAGTTTTTATTGACTGTTTTTGGATCAAATGAACACGCAGGTGTTCATTTGAATGAACACGCAGGTGTTCATACACAGAGTTGTGGGAAATCCTAACCTTATATGGAATAATTAGGGCATTGATTATGCCGATTTACATTTGTCCGGAACATGTGCTCACTTTTTCTCAGGTGTACTGTGTCAAGTTTACAAGGTTAATTTAAGAACATTTACTGAAGTTAAGAACAGTTGTGGCTCATTCCTAAAAGCCCAATGTAGTAGAAAAGGTTAGAGACATTTAAAATTAGCATATGAAAATGTTGTTGCATGTTGCCCATTGCTCTTTCCACATTACATCTATCTAAAGTGTCCTAGTACCTTAATGTCCCAATAATGCTGCTACACCCATATCACAATGTTGGTTTATTGTTCTGAAACTTACAAGTCTCCCTGCCCCCTTTTTCTCCAAATGTACTGATCTTTAAGGCCAAAACCCTCAATTCTAGATTCATCAGACCACAATTTGTGTTTTCAAAATTAAGATATTTGTCCATAGCTGCATTTGTTAACTGCAGTCTGTTATTCATGATTACTTTTGGATTAATGACCTCTTCCTCTCAGAGTGGCTTTTACATGTTGGTAATAGATTTGTTTCACTGTTGATAGCCCTTTTTAAAAGGCTTAAGATAGTACCCTCAAGGATGTTTTTTGCCCTTGTTGTGGGGTGTATATCCACATTACACACTAAAGAACCATACATATCGTTAGTACATAGCCTGTCTCTTTCCTGAGCAATATGAGGGCACATTGCTATAATATTTAGAAATTTTACATTTAAAAAAATTGTGTAAACATTCTAGTATCTATACATTTTTTCCAAACATTATTCAAGACAGATCTGGAATCAGTCTTGAATGTCCCCACCCAAGGTCACAGTGTATTTGAGTTGTTAGAGGACTGTTTCAAAAAACGTAGATAAGGGATAAAGTCGGATTTTTCGTGTATCCTGGCTTAGTTAAGGCTTGACTTCGTTTCACAAAGGGAGTAACACCTAAGTTACTATAGTGATCTATTCTGTGATGCTAGCCTGCTCCAAACCAGGCTAACAGCAAGGCTAAGGTATTCCTTGTGCCATATCTGTTCAGTGAGCAGGCATACTGCTCACTGTAGAGAGGATTAGACAGAAGTCTGATGAAGATGAAAAGATGTTGTTATCAAGTTAAGCTGTAAAAGGAGCTCCAAACAAATCTTTCTTTACAATGGTGTGCCCATAATAGAACTTTTTCCTGACTATCACCTGCATGAGAGTTGTTGCTTTTCAAAGGATGACATCCTACATTAGTGCAGAACTGCTGGGTCCCAGTTCAACAGTACACAGAACAGAGCCATACCTTGAC